AACCAAAGACTCTGAATTCAAAAGATAATTTCAAAATAAGCACACAGAATCCATATCCACATCATCTTCTTCACTGCCATTACACTCGATGCACCAGTGGAACCCCTCGACCGGTTTCGCCCACGCCACCACGTAGGTCTCTTCAGGAGGGTGAACTCAAATGAGTTCGCGTGCCCGAAAAGATGAAGCGAAGGCCTTACTTCCTCATAGATCTAGCCTCCTTGCACCTGAAAGTGCTATCCCCCGCGTCCCGACGCGAAGCTCCAGCAGGCAGTACGTACAGGTTCAAGAAAACCCGGAATACAAGAGAGCAGTCCCCCGAAAACTCACGGCTATATCCTTTCCTAAAATAATGCCATACTCGAACCCGGCTTGCCTAGTGGTCCGGGTGCACACATCCTAAAACACGGAGCAGAGAGCCTCCTCATCGCACCCGGCTTGCCTAGTGGTCCGGGTTCACGCGTCCTAAAACTGTAGCACCCGGCATGCCTAGTGGTCCGGTGCTCGTTCCTACCTCGATTTCCCATATTTCCCCACGACTGATTACGAAACGAAAACTACGAAACGACACGTGCGAGACCCCCAACAGCAAAACAGTAAGAATGTAGTGTTTCTCCCACGTGCTTTCCGCCCCGTCCCCATGCGGAAAACAAACAAAACAAAAAACAAAACAGAAGAGACTAAGCCAGCTCCGCGAATTAAAATTAAAATCAAAATTACAATAGGGCCGAAGAAGACCCAGAACAAGTAATATCCACCTCGTTCCTCCTGTACACCCCGAAGAGTCCGAAAAACTCACAAAGATCGCTCTCGACCCAAAATGAGGGCTTTCAAAACACCCAGTAGCCTTTTTGGACCCTGATCATCCGCAGCCTTGGCTAATACAGCCAGGACACCGAGAGAGACCTCCGGGGGGTATCCCCGGAGGTTAACTTCAAAGATAGCGCACGCTATCGTGCCCAGGACCAGTGCTTTGCTGGTCGAATGCTCCCATAACCTCTGAATCGTCGCGGTCAAAACTGCTTTCTTCACTCTTTTTTCAGAGTAGGAGGTAAAATCCTGCATCATCTGATAAATCAGAGCTCCTTTTTCTGTCAGCGGTTCTGCGTTCTTTGTCAGCGGTACGTAGTGCAATTGCACAGGTTCATTGCAGAGGAAGACCGAGCCACCAACAAACTGCCAAGTCAAGCCACAGTCATCTTTCCTCACGACTTCGAGGTTCGCATCGTATATCCCCTCAAAAAGCCTGAATAATTCTTCCGGATGATTCTCGCCGTGGCTGTTGCGGTTAATCCCGACCACTACAGAGATGTCGTCCATGATGCGCCACCCCCGGATTAGCTATGTTACCGCGTGTTCATTGAACGCGCGTTCCGCGTTCAGTTTTTGAACGCAGTGAACGCATGTTCACTGAACGCGCCTGAACGAGATTGACGCGTTTGCGCAAGGGGGCAGGCGGGGTGGGGGGGTGCTTTGGGCAGTGTGGGGAGCGTCGGCGGTGCTTGGTGGGGTTGTGGGCAGTGTGGGGAGTGGCGGCGGTGCTTGGGGGGGCTGGGGGGCCAAAGCCCCAGGGGAAACGGGGAAAAAAAAAAAAAAAAAAAAAAATGTGCGTGTGAAATTGTGTGTGTGTGTACGTGTGTGTGTGCGTGTGTGTGAACGGTTCTTTTTTTTTTTTTTTGGAGTGGGGGGGGGAGTCCCCCTAACGCAGCTCAGACAGCCCATACAGGCTATCTGAAGGGTCCGCGCAGCCATGCAGCGCAGACCCCCCCACCAAATTCGAAGCAGGCAGTGAATACGAAATAGAGCACGAGCTGGCCGAATATATAGCGGAGATTCGAATTCAGGTCTGTGCTTCAGCAGTTACGGGTTGCTCACGTAGCTAGGGCCTGTTGGTCTCTGCCCGTGACTCTTAGGGCTTGGCTGCACTACTCACCAAATGTGCAAAACTAGAATGAATCTTCTTCATAACATGGAATAATACGTCGCCAGATGTTTTGTCTTTTGTGCATGTGGTGAGTAGAGGCCCTTAGGGGCACTGCACGTATTCCTAAGAAAAGAAAAACGAGACAAAAAAAAAACAAGAAAAATGATAAATGATAAAAAAGAAAAACAAAAAAAAATTAAAACGAGAAATTTCTCGTTTTTCTCTTCTTAGGAATACGTGCAGTGGCCCTAAGGGCCTCTACTCACCACATGCACAAAAGACAAAACATCTCGCGACGTATTATTCCATTTTCTGAAGAAGATTCATTCTAGTTTTGCACATTTGGTGAGTAGTGCAGCCAAGCCCTAAGAGTCACATGCAGAGACCAATAGGCCCTAGCTACGTGAGCAACCCATAACTGCTGAAGCACAAACCTGAATTCGAATCTCCGCTATATATTCGGCCAGCTCGTGCTCTATTTCGTAATCACTGCCTGCTTCGAATTTGGTGGGGGGGTCTGCGCTGCATGGCTGTGCGGACCCTTCAGATAGCCTACATGGGTTGTCTTAGCCACGTTAGGGGGATTCCCCCACCCACTCAAAAAAAAAAAAAAAAAGGAATTTTTACATATGGCGGGGTGATGCGGTAGGGGGGGTAGGCCTCTGTTGTTTTTTTTTTTTTGCAGTTTTGGGGTTCGTAGAACAAGACCCATCACCCCGTAGTCCGTAACGCGCGCGTGTTCCCCCCGGGGTCGCGTTCAGTTTTTTCATGCCACGTGGCGCGTAGTGCGTTTGAATGCGAATGAACGCGGCCCCGGGGCCCCCCGGGGGGTATGAACGCGCGCGTTTGAACGTGAACGCGCGTTCAGCGCGTTCACCCGGTTACACAACGGATTAGCACTCTGTCCGATCCCAACTGCTTAAGAAAGCGTACTTCAGCCATGACACAGGTGATCGAAGCGAGAACTGGGCTCGTGGATTTCCCCATGGGGATGCCAAAAATCTGCCGCATGATCTTGTTTCCACATCGAATCACCGAATGCTCCAGATCAAAACGTACTTCACGGAGCAAATCCTGGAGTGTGAAACTAACGTATCCCTCAGTCTTCTTCCCCGTGGTGCTAATGACGCATGCTTTGGCTCGGTACGAGACCTTCACCGTTCTCGAACCACCATCCTCAAAGATGCAGAGCAACTGCTCCACTGCCTGAATTACAGCTTCGTGTGGGATCCGTGAAAACATTTCCTTAATATCGTAACATCTTCCCACCACTTGTGAGCAGCCCGCAGCCTTCAGACTCCGCGTTGCCGATTCCAATCCTTCCCTAAGATCCACCACAGAATTCGGATAGAACGAGCTCCTAGTCGGGAGCCTAATGAGAAGGTAATGCAACGCCCTTGCTATCCTCTTCTGTGTTACGGCTGCCGGGTCAGAAGGTGATGGTGCGATCGGCCGTCACCTCCCAAGGTCCTTGTGTTTAGGAATAACATATGTCGTTCCCAGTCTTCCGTCCGCCCGCCAAGGACCAAAGATATTCAGTCTCGCTCCCATGAAATCCTTCTTGCAGCAAGCGAGGAAATCAGCTTCTAGAGCAGTCGGGCAGACTTCGCAGTAATTTGTGTTCTAGAGGAAGACCTTCCCAAACGCATGTCTATACAGAACAGGACAGAAAACCGCCGTGTCTCCCTGATTTCGGTCAACCGGGACTAACACCAGTCCACTTAGTTTCTTGCTCCACATCTTGACTTCGTCATCTGTCCAAGCCACGGATGTACCCCTTTCTTCGGCGATGGTTCCCTCAGGCACAACGATCTTTGGTGTGATTCCCTGAATGTGTTTAGTCGCATCTAGCACTGCTTGGACCAAGGTGTCCCCATTCAAAGCCCTGCTGGATCTCGTGATGTTCTTGGAGTTGCGTAAGAATTGGGGAACCTCAGGCAGCTCGGCGAATCTCGTCGCTCCATGTCCGTCCATCTTTGGGAGACTGGAGTTGGAACATCCACAGGAAAACTCCTCCTCCATCGCAAAAACCTTTTGGTTATGAAGCAGCTGACCCACCGTTCTGTTTCTCAACCAAACTACCCGAATTCTGGTCTTCATGAAGCCTGCGACTGCCTTCTCTTGAACCTTACCGTCAACAACTTGCTCAACCATTTCCCGCACTCCTCTCTTCCGTATGTCGGAATCGTAGCGCAGCTTCACAGTGATTCTTCTTCTCACGCCGATACCCGTCTTCCTCCTGATAGCACTGTCGATCTTCCAACGCAGGGCAAGCTTAGTTTTCTTCTCAGCGAAGCAGCCAGCCGCCCAGTAGAGCCCTACGAGTTTGTTCGTAGTCAGGTTGGCCAACTGCGATGACGGTTTTGGGCGCCTGAGGAGCATTGCGAGAAAAAAATTATTTTTCTCGGTCGTAGTCTTCATCTTCACAATCCTCAGGAAAACCACAGTTCCACCTTTCTGCAAATTCTCCTTTGCATGCTTGAGACGCATCCGACTTCCAGCGATCAGAAGCCTTGTCTCCCCAAACGTCCTCCTAATCACCTTCCAACCATCAATCCATAATGCTCCCTTACTGAAGTCCACCACTTTGTGTACCTCCCCCGTGCCACACCTGCTATTCAGCCAGTTAAATAAGGAAGCAAAACTGCTTTCTTGGTAACGACCAATTACTGCCTCCCTAACGGCGGTCCCAGCTGATCTACCCTTCCTCTCCCTACGGCCCTTCCTCACCTTCCTGCGCCTTCTAACTTCACGTTTATCAATGTCCCGTGAGTTGAGACTTGGACAAAAATTCGCTATCAGAAACTTCTCATATGCGTAATCGTCATCCTTCTCTGTGTGCCGAATCAGCAGCAGTACGTACTTCTCTAGGCCAAAAGACCGCAGCCGCCTATAGAGGTGTGGTGTAAGACCCAGCGCGTAGTTCCTAGCATTTCTGCAGTGCTCTCGCCACCGCTGGATCATGGGTCTTATTGTGCAGCCCACGTAAGTCTTTCTCGACCAGGGGCTGACAACAGCATATACTCCTGCAGTATCGAGGTCAAGAAGCTTACTTACCTCTTGCGATCTCAAAACATATTTCTCTAACCACGGTATCAACCCCCTCGCTGTCAGCAGGATTGTAGTGATCGTGATTACACATTCAACCTTTCTAGATACCTCGCCTCTAACGTTGAGCTCCCGCAGCACCGAGCGTTGGTTGAACCAAAAATTCAGTCTTTCCCATAACTCGGTGTTCGTGGGAGCTCGGCACCGTCAATTTGAGTCCTCCTTGGGCTGTGTCGGTGCAGATTTGAGAATGATCCATGGTTGCATCACGGTCGCGTGCTCGTGTACGATCTGGTCCTTCCTAATCTCTGCTTTTGGCGTCTGTTGAGCTTTCCCCTTTCCTTTCTTGTCCGCACTGCCCTCCCCTTCCTTCTCCTCAAATCCCTCATATGCGAGCTCTACTTGCTGTCTTGTTAGCAACTCAACTACCTCTGGTTTCTTCGTGTAGCGAATTCCCTTCTTATCACATAACTTCCTGAGATCTAGTGCACTCTTGCCTGAGTAAATCTTGTGGGCAGAGATGCAATATTCGATCAAGCCTTTTTGTGAACATCCCGCCGAGAGCCCCTTGTACCCACCCGTTAGTGGGGTCTTTGGCTCATCCTCACGTTCGTCCCGGTCTTCCTCGTCTGGTCTTTGCTCTCCGTGTTCTTTCTCTAGTCCGGATGTGCAATGCTTTGAACACTCGCCCCGTTCAAACCTCGGAGTAAGGTTTACCGGTGAGACGACTTTCTTCCTATCCTTCGGTTTCGTAATCTTCTTCTTCGCACCACGTGTCCTCTCCTTCCCCTTCTTGCGTCGACCCCTCCCCTTGCTACCATCCTCTTTCGAAGAAGTCGATAGTGTGGAGTCCCATTCGGATTCACTCTCCGAGTCCGATGACTCACTCGAGTCAGAGCGTTGTCCCCTCCTAGACTTTTTTCCCTTCCGTCCGCACTTCCTATCCTTCCAATTTTTTACAGTCGGCTGTCCGTCATCCAAATTGCTCTTTACCGCAGCAGTCGCTTCCTGCTCCCTTTGTCGCCATTCCTTGTTGAGGTCCATGCGCAGTTGCAGACGTAGTTCCTCAATCTTTCTGGCAAAATCCTGATTCTTTCGCCGTTCCTCTTCCTCCTTGGTCTTCTTCTCTCCCTCCGCCCTCCTCATCTCCTCTAATTCTTGCTTTTCCCGTCTCGCTTGCCTATGATGTTCCTTGATTTCCTCTAACTCCGGGTCCTGCACGTTGTAACTCTGTTGGTATAGTCGCCCTCTCTTAGCCCAACAGTCCCGCGCATAGTGGCCCGGTTTTCCGCAGTTATAGCATAACCCGCCGGGATTAATCACCGCGCTATTCCCGTTTGTGTATGCCCCTCCCGGTCCCCCTTGCCCATCTTGGTGGGCAAACCCGTTCCCCGTTCCTCAAACAGAAAAATTCCCGCGAGAAATGAAAGTTGAAAAAACATTCCTTACAAAAAAAATCCTTCATATTTATAAATTATCATTCCAATGTTTGTCCAATTCTAAAATTTTCAGTTTTATTTGATTAGTTCTCGTCTAAATGTGAGTTTTTCCTTCCAACTACATCTATTTGTTCAAGATGAAATGGAAGTCTGGACAAGTTTATGAAATGTTTTAATTAAACTTTCATTCTACTATAACAAATATCTTCTAATTTAGATTGGATTAACCTATTTATGACTGAAAATCCTTACTTAGAATGACAGTCCAATTAAAATATTTCATGAACTCATCCAGACTTTCATTCCATCTCTAGCATGCAGTTCAAATAAGAAGGGAAAGTTCTCAAGTAAGACGGAAAATTTTAAAATTGGAATGACATTTTTTAAGATGGAATAAAAATTTAAAATTTAGAATGTAATTTTACTATAGAATGAATATTTAATTCTGGGAAATTTTTCCGTTGTCCTAAGTTCGCACTACCTCCCGCACCACCAGATCCATTAGTGAGATACATCTTCGAACAATCTCCCCTAGTTGTCTACAGTCGTATCTTCCTCGTCGTCTGCCTACCGTAACGCCGAGTTGTTTTTTAACCCCCGCCTATGCCGCGATACGTATCTTTTAATGTGATCTCATCTAATAGCCCATTCGCAAAGAGCAGAAAGCTCATGTCGTCACTATACTTGCATTGTCACCTCCAAACCCCAATCTTGTACCACCGGTTTGTGCCTTTCAAAACAGTGTCGGAAAACCTCTCTGGAGGGATCGCACCTGCTAGCTATTCGGTATTACTCGAGGTGCAAAACAGTCTATATTTGCCATATCTCTTCGATGTCTTCGCGGGTGACGTTCGCCCTTATCCTAGCAGTTAGCAGTGTCCTTTCTATCAGAATCAAGGCACGCGTGAGATCATCATATAGCCTCCCCCGCTTTTGCTCATTGCTGATGCATCTCGCTATGTAAAATAGTGGTCTAATAGTAGCCCTGACATGTCTATTCATACAACGGATTAACTGTGATCGGAATGATTCGTCCCTCCTCCTGATCACAATCCTTCTCCTTCCACACGTCCGACAGTGGGTTGGTCCTCTACGTACTTTCATACTGACCCTTCAGAATGCAGATCCTACTATCAACAGACCGCAACCAATGATCATCACACCTAATCCCACGATAATCGTCCTAATCGTGTCGCGCATACGGTACATTGAGTGGCTGACTAATCCTGCGTCCAAATAATCTTAAATTTTCGAAGACCAAGCTCGTAACCCCTCAAAACAGAGATTCCAAGCGTAAAAACACTCTTCTCATAAATCCATGATCATAAGAGAACACCTTTCTCGCAGCACTTAGGATTCTGAAATCCAAAACTAAAATACAACTTCGCCCGCCCACCTAGATTCGTGATTCGTGATGCGCGTCAACGTAGCCACCATCGCAGCATACACAGCTTACGGTTACTACGTGCCTACGAGTTGGCAGACTGCGGCCACACAGTCCCAGCAGCAGTATAGACGACATGAAAACCAAAGACTCTGAATTCAAAAGATAATTTCAAAATAAGCACACAGAATCCATATCCACATCATCTTCTTCACTGCCATTACACTCGATGCACCGGTGGAACCCCTCGACCGGTTTCGCCCACGCCACCACGTAGGTCTCTTCAGGAGGGTGAACTCAAATGAGTTCGCGTGCCCGAAAAGCGGAAGCGAAGGCCTTGCTTCCTCATAGATATAGCCTCCTTGCACCTGAAAGTGCTATCCCCCGCGTCCCGACACGAAGCTCCAGCAGGCAGTACGTACAGGTTCAAGAAAACCCGGAATACAAGAGAGCAGTCCCCCGAAAACTCGCGGCTATATCCTTTCCTAAAATAGTGCAATACTCGAACCCGGCTTGCCTAGTGGTCCGGGTTCACACGTCCTAAAACACGGAACAGAGAGCCTCCTCATCGCACCCGGCTTGCCTAGTGGTCCGGGTTCACGCGTCCTAAAACTATAGCACCCGGCATGCCTAGTGGTCTGGTGCTCGTTCCTACCTCGACTTCCCATATTTCCCTACGACGGATTATGAAACGAAAACTACGAAACGACACGTGCGAGACCCCCAACAACAAAACAGTAAGAATACAGTGTTTCTCCCACGTGCTTTCCGCCCCGTCCCCATGCGGAAAACAAACAAAACAAAAAACAAAACAAAAGAGACTAAGCCAGCTCCGCAAATTAAAATTAAAATCAAAATTACAATAGGGCCGAAGAAGGCCCAGAACAAGTAATATCCACCTCGTTCCTCCTGTACACCCCGAAGAGTCCGAAAAACTCACAGAGATCGCCCTCGACCCAAAATGAGGGCTTTCAAAACACCGAGTAGCCTTTTTGGACCCTAATCATCCGCAGCCTTGGCTAATACAGCCATGGCACAGAGAGAGATAGAGAGAGAGAGAGAGAGAGAGAGAGAGAGAGAGAGAGAGAGAGAGAGAGAGAGAGAGAGAGAGA